GGAATGGTTAAAAATTATGACATTAGTGTTCTTTATCACTCTGACAAGGCAAATGTGGTTGCGGATACCCTAAGTTGGTTATCCATGGGTAGTGTGTCTCATGTAGGTGAAACTAAGAAAGTCCTAGTGAAAGATGTTCATAGGTTTGCTAGATTGGGTGTGAGGTTGGAAGATTCTCCGAATGGTGGTTTTATGACCCATCATAAGTCAGAATCATCTTTGGTAGTTGAGGTGGAGTCCAAACAACTCCTTGATCAATCATTGATGAAGTTTAACGAATCGGTTCTTCGTAAGCTTAATGATTCATTTTCCTTAGGAGGGGATAGTGTCTTGAGGTATCAAGGAAGGTTGTGTATTCCCAATGTAGATGGGTTGAGGAACTGGATCGGTGAGGAAGCCTATGGGTCCCATTATCACATTTAGCCGGGTTCGACAAAAATTTACCATGACATTAGGGAAGTATTTTGGTGGAAAGGTTTGAAGAAGGACATAGCGAAATTTGTTCCTAAGTGTCCGAATTGCCAACAAGTGAAATGCGAACATTGGAAGTGGGGTGACTTGCTACTAGAAATCCAAGTTCCTACTTGGAAGTGAGAATACATCAATATGGATTTTGTAGTAAGGTGGCCACTGACTCAAAGGCAATATGACTCTATATGGGTGGTTGTGGATAGGTTGACCAAGTTCGCTTATTTAATTCCTGTCAAGTCTACCTATACAGTGGAAGATTTTGCAAGGATTTTCATAGATGAGACTATGTGTCGCCATGATATTTCGTTATCCTCATATCAGATAGGGTGCACGATTCACATCTAGGTTTTTGAGGTCATTTTAACAAATGTTGGGTACTAAGATGAAGCTAAGTACAACTTTTCATCCTCACATTGATGGTCAAGGGGAGCGTACTATTCAAACCTTGAGGATATGCTTAGAGCTTGTATTATTGATTTCAAGGGAAATTGGGATAAGCATTTGCCTTAAGTGGAGTTTGCTTATTAGTAGTTTTCATTCATCCATAGCCATGACTCTGTATGAAGCCTTGTATGGTAGGATGTGTAGGTCTCCTATTTGATGGTTTGAAGTGGGTGAGAGTTTGCTTCTTGGTCCCGATTCGATTTATAGGACTTTGGAGAAAGTTTATATCATAAGGAACAGGTTGCAAACAACCTATAGTCGGCAAAAGCCTTATACCAAACATATGAGAAGAGACTTAGAGTTTGACGAAGGTGGTAAAGTGTATTTGAAAATTTCGCCAATGAAAGGGGTGGTTAGATTTGGCAAGAAAGGGAAGTTGAGTCCATGTTGTGTGGGTCCATATGAAATCTTGCAAAAGGTCAGTAAGGTTGCATATGAATTGAAACTTCCTAGTGAATTGGCTTCGATTCATCCGATTTTCCATGTTTCAATGCTTAAGAAGTGTATCGGTGATCCCGAGTCTATTCTTCCTATTGAGGGTCTTTGTATGAAGGATAACCTCTCCAATGAGGATGTTTCGGTTCAAATCCTTGATAGGGAAGTGAAGAAATCGAGGAATAAAAAGGTGGTTTCAATAAAAGTGTTATGGAAGTATTACCTAGTTGAGGGTGCAACATGGGACGTCGAGGCCGACATGAAGTCCCGTTAGCCTCATCTATTTGATAAATAAAAATATTTGTTATTACTACTAATGAAAATAATGACTAAAAATTGAAAATTCTTTATTTTTGGTGAAACTTTGAAAAATGTGCATTTTTGGATGTTGTTACAGTGATTTCCAGTGAAATGTGCATTTAGACTTGAAAAATCGCAATCCATCTTGTTTTGAGTCATGTGGTGCATTTTGATAAGGTGGGTCCTTATAAAATGATATGTAGCATGTCGATAAGTTGAACTTTGATATAACTGACTCAAAAATGCTATGTTGAGCTGTTGTTGTTGTGAGTCGGATATTCATAATTATGTAGTGTTGAGCCTTATTGTGATAATTGAAGTTTTGAATTTCCATGTATAAGTGATATGGTTGATGTTGTTATCTAATATTGTTGGCTGGGCTGCTAGTCTTGAGTCTATTCCTTCCTTCAAAAGAATTTAAGTGTCATCCTCGGACGAACGTTCCTACTGGGGGGGGGGGGGAGGGGGGATAATATAAATCTTCAAAAATCCAAGACGTTTCCTAGAGCCTAACATAAGTGACATAAGGTTTAGGCACTGTTTTAAGGTACATTTTAATGAATATAAGTCATTTAGGGAGTCCTAGAAACCAAAATGTCCAAGAACGTCCATGATTTCCGACAACTAGTTCAATGAGGTGCTAGCTTGCCTTAGCTTATTTGATTAGCCTTTGGAAGTCGAAAAATGATGAAAATTGGTGGAAGGGTGTCTATCATACTTTTAAGTTTATTCATGGTCATAACGTCTGGGTACGACTCTCCAAGGACCAACCAAGGGCCCTTGAGGAGGACCCTTGCATTTTGGGGTCAAGGACTGTCTGGGTAGTCTGCACCCACGAAGGGAATCGACATGGCGTGTGTGGATAGACGGGGCATTGATGTCATCCGTCGACCAACACTTATCAAAATCCTTGAAGGACCTGTTTAGGCAGGTCTCTGAACTCATCTATGGATAACCAGCACGGAAGGAGGGGCATGTCGTCGACTTATAGACGGACCGTTGGTCGAGGTCTCGTTTGTGAGGGCCTGACTTTGTTGCATGTTTTTAGTTGGTTCCAATTAATTAATTATGGGGTTAGATAATTAGTTAGAGGTTAAGGGAAGTCTAATTAAGTTAGTTAACACCCCATATAAAGACCCCAGCCCCAGTAAACTAATCTAAACTCTTATGACTCACAAATCCAAACTCTCTTCCTTCTCTCTTCTTTCTCACTCTAGTGAGAACACCATTGAAGAACAAGCTAGGGGAGGGTTTAAGGGATGCAAAAAGTCAAGTTAACCATCAATCTTCATTGATTAATAAAGTATGATATCTAATTCACCTTTGAAACCTCTTATCTCAAAGGGTTCCATCAAATTGATTTCAAAACTTGAGTTTTCAAGTGGCTTTCATCCAATCTCGAAGTTGAAGTTATGAATTGATTCTTGTTTGATTTATTTTTGATATTATGAATAGATTAACATGTATTTTAACTTAATTATGATATATCTTTATGGTTTGGTCTAGTTTGAAGAAGATGACCCTTAACCCTTAACCATAGGTTATGATCTTGATATGAATTATGGTGTATTGTTTCAATTGGCTTGATTATTGGTTGACTTACTACTGTATGATATTTTTCTACCAAACATGAATGAATTAGGGTGAATTTTAGTCTTTTCATGCAACTTCTTGATAATTCCTCTAGGTTAAGAACTATGTTGTGAATTAACCTAAGTATCTTGTCTTAAGCTGTGATCTAGTATTGAATTGTGATGAAGTAATTCTTTTAGCTTTGGTGTGATGTTGGTCTTAGGATTATGATGATGTTATACCATAATTGGGTTGAATTAAGGGTTGATTGTAAGACCTTGATGATGAATTGTGAAGGAGACTTGGTAAGTCTTATGATCCCTATTGTTTATTTCATATTATGATTAATTTTGATTACGTCATCATATCATATTGGAGTATACCTTGTATTATAATTTATAGGGTTTGTATGATGTTGAATATAAATTTCTTGATTATGGTATGTGAGGTGTTCACTAACATGTAAATATTACAAGTATGGTGAATGATTTACCAATGTGCCTCATTATCAAGTAATACATAAATGTTCTAACCTCACTTATATAAATTGTAATGAAAGGATTTTACTCATACAATTTCTATTGAGCTCTGATGATGATGATTTTATACAAGGGTTAGACCTTATGACTTACAATAAGCTATGATGATTAATAAAGACATTGAAGACATTTAAAAAAAGGGTCTCTAGCTTAGCACCGAGTGAACTAGAGTGAGCAGTGTCCTTCCTACATAGGGAAGGTAGGATCACTAATGTATATTTGAGATTGGAGACTATATTGCATTTATCATAAAGAGGGTCCTAATTATATCTCTTAATTCTTGAACTTTGTTGCCCCCATAGGAATACTAGGTAGTTTATCCACGTAGTTGCTATTTTCATGTTTTGGTACTACCTTGACAAGTACTCTACCTTCTTTCGGTGTAGGGTTCCATGACATTGGATTCCACATTAGCTCATGTGGTCTACGTCGGTTAGGGCAAGATGTTCCCGAAAGGTAAAATGAATTTAAGGAATGAACTCTAACTAGGATGACCTAAGGGATTCCACATTAGCTCATGTGGTCTATGTCGGTTTGGGCAAGATTTTCCCGAAAGGTAAAATGAATTTAAGGAATGAACTCTATCTAGGATGACCTAAGGGTTTTAGATTAGTTTAGTAGTCGTATGAGACTCTACCGAAACATTGCACTTGTTAGCCTTGAAGGGAGTCTTAGGATATGATTATAATGCTACATGACATGCATATGGAAAACTTTCGCATTGTTGATACTATATGTTGATTGGTGTAACTTATGAATATGTGTTGGTCAATATTGTTAATGTATGATGCTATGTACTCTTAAATGTTTTGATATGTCAAGTGTGATGTTGGTCATGATTCTTGTTGAGTTACTTGATTGAGTAAGATTATGGGACATTGCTTGGTCACTGGACTTGTTCACTTGATAAGGGTTGTGGGTAATTGTCTTGCTTGGGTTATTCATGCTTGTTGAGGTAATGGCTTGAGCTTTGACTATATGTCTAATCACATGATATGCATGTTGACTTGACTAGTTTTGATGTTGTTGGTCTTTTTATGTACATGTCAATGACTTAATGAATATGTCTTATTGATTTGGTATGGTCTCGTATAATATGTATAAAGGTTTTTAAAGTAAATTTTCATACTTGATGAAATGTGCTATTTTACCATGTTTTCATGATATGTCTGCATATGGTCTCATTCTTAGTACAACTGGTCTACTAACTTCATTTCTTCCTTTCCCCCAATAATTTAGGTTCCAGTTGTTGAAGGGCTTCTCGAGACGACTTGAAGAAGACTCGAATCTCTTATTCATCCAAGTAGGGTAGGTCCTCAATTCCGAGGGAGATTACACTTAGTTAAAAACTTTTATGGTTCTTTCTTTTCCATTTAGTATGAAATTGTATATCCCATGTGAGGCATTCTTACTTTGATGTATGGGCTAGGACCAATTTTAAATACTCTTATTAGATGGTTATGAGATGAGACGACTATTATGACTATGTTATGTTTATATATATCTATGTGCAATAAAAGTAGAAGACTAAGTAATTCTCGGGTCTATGTATGCTTGATATATCTCTAATACGTCTATGCAGAGGTCTATATAAACCTCAATGTAGATGTAGTAAAAATTTTAAACTTTCCTCTAAATATGACCTGTGAATGTAATGATGTAAGCTAAGAGGCTAGTCTTATTTCTCAAAGAGGACGACGATGCCGGTTACATCTAGGGGGTGTTCCCCAGATGTGACAAAAGACTAATGGTTCAAGGATATAATTGTGAAATTTAAGTTAAGTATATGCTTCAAGTATAATTTAGCTTCTATTCTCATATACCTTGTATTATGTTGACTTGTGATGTTATGATACTTATTGTTATGTTATGAATTTGTTATTATGTCTTATGTTTACTGACCTCTTTTGGATGTTTTATGTTGGTATGTTACCTTTCAGACTTGGTATATTTTGTAATAATGCATATTGCCTACATTCAAACCAAGTTTATGGTTGGAGTCTTGAGTTGATTTGGAGTCTATGTTTCAAGGATATAGAAGAGTTGAAGATCTTGGTGCGTCCTCATAGCTTTTAGGAAAATATCAACTTCAGCTTTATGTTTTTTCATCTATGATTTTAGACTTGGTACGGGCTTCGTCCCAAAGATTATTATTCATGAGTATTATATAGATGGTTTGAGACAAAGGTTTTAGTAAAGTCTTCCACTTTACAATTTATTAAGATGACTTCAATTGTATTTCTTAAAAGTTTAAAAATTTCCCCATAATTCTCTATTATATTATTTATTATTATTCCAATGTCTTGTATGAGACCATTCAGGGTCAAGTACGCCGTGTCACGTCTACGGGGTGCTCTTGGGGCATGATAGTCAGGGTCGCCTACCTCTTTGTCGATACACCAAGCGGGTCATTGCTCGCCAACCTTCACCTTCTAAACACTTTCCACACTTTAACCCACACATAACACACCATTATTTATAAAACAAAAATAAAGAAATAAAAAGGGTCTTGGTTTGCCTCCCAAGAAGTGCCTTAGTTAACATTGCAGCATAACAAAAGTCTACACTTAAGCCTCATTCTAGGGGGTAGGTCTTAGTTTCACTAGGCAACCCTTCTATAGACTGTCATTAGAGGCACCACATCACTTGGTTCATTTAGGCGTCGAGTAGCTGGATAATCATGGAATGAGAGGTCTTCATCTGATTCAACATTTCGATATTCGCTTTTATCTCATTCAAAACACTATCCTATTCGTCGATCTTGTGTAGAATGAGAGTGAGTACATCCTCATTTTGTCAACCCTCATTATTCTTTGTATTTTGACGCTCGCGAGGGGGAAAGTGTCTGTTCTCTTTCTTGGACCGTGCCTCCGATTCTATGACTTTCTTCGATAAGACATCTAGCTAAGTCAACAATGCGGCCAATTCTTAGAGTTTCTCTATTCTTTGTTGGTCTTAAGGATTCCGTCAACAAATTGAGATATTGCTTCATAGGGTGGTTGTATCAAACCATCCACAAAGAGTTGGTCTGCAGTATGCCTATTTTTGGGACCAAGACCCCTAGAAGCATTCTAGTAGCAATTCATCGGACATTTTATGAGGTTCGCACGACTATAGTACTTCCTTAAATTTCTACACATTTCATCGATATTTATGCTTGAATTTTAGAAGGCTCTCCCTAAGATTCAACAATTTTATAAAAAGTGTGATCCAGTTGGTCCCCATAGTTACTATTCACACTATCTTTCATGTTGCAACACACAATCAAGCAAAACAAAACTAAAATTACCACTAAAACTAACATGAGAAAAAATCAGCTTAACCAACAATTCTCAAGTAACACCACTCCTCGATACCAATGCCATTTTGACTTTTCACGGTTATCAAGACAATATTTCCAATTTTAGTGTCAATGATCGTGAGTAGTAATATAATTCAACCAAGGGTTGGGATCGTTCCCACATGGAGTAGTTTCGAGAATTAGTAGCCAAGTGTGAATAAGTTCAAGTTAGTCATAGCTAAATATAATTATAAATAAAAGTATAACTAAAGTTTTGGGTGAATCAAATGCCAAACATCAAGGGGGTTTTGATTGTAATTATCAACTAAAAAAGAAAATAATATGAATAAATAAGTATATAGACACGATTCCTTTGATGTGATAGGATATGAGCTACGGTAAGCAACCTGGTAATTGCAATTAAAAGTGAATAGTTGTAAATCTGTAAATAAACTAGATTTAAGTAGGGATAAACTTTCTATCGAGCAGTTTACCCTGAATCAAATTAGTTTCTCTCGAACACCAATAAGCAGCAATTAAGAATAGTCTTTGCTTTAGTCCATTCACACTCTCGAACTGAATTTGTGGAAAAGGCTTTATGATTCACTCTCTTAAGCTAAAACCATGAGAACCCAATACCTATAAACCATCAATCTAGTAATTTTTTTTAAAAAACATCTCTCTCGAGAAAGCCAAAAACATGAAGGTTGAGATGCATTTCCAACTATAATATTTTATATTAAGCCACATTTACTAAATTAAATCATTTATAAATAGCATTTACACTACCAATCAACATCCAACAATTAAATCAACCTACAATCACACCCCAAGAGTTGCGGTTTTAGCTCTAGACATAGTGAAAACCAAGAAATCAATACCCAATTGTGTTTTTATTGAGTTGGTAAGATTAATATTATCTTTACAGAGGTCTAAGATGAAGAATCTTCAGCACCCACTTCAAATTTCTTGCAACTAGAAATCTTTAAAGCTAAGGAAATATTGTGTCTCAACTCTGTTCTTGGATCTCCAACTTGAAAAATGAACAAAAAAGAAAATCTAGATTCAAGATAATATATGATCACTAAACTAAAAATTAAAACAAGTATTTTGAGTCTCCAAAAATTTTACTGCAAAGGTCCATTCAGTGCAATTACTCGGGATCACCGATCCAATAAGTGATCCACCCTTTGGTCATTGTCATTGTCGTTATGCTTTGGCCTTCACCATCTTCCAGTTCTATCACATTGGAAAATAAGCCACTGCATCATAGAATCATGCGGTGGCTCGTCTACTTCTCCTTTTCATCTCTCATATTATTTCTTCTTCCAAGTGTTGCACACTGGAACACTAGGCAAGACCAGGGTCGTTTGGCTACTCGGCCAATGGTTTAGGCAATACTTAGGCGTTCATTACTTATTCTTTAAGCTTTCTTGTTCATTATTTCTTAGTAGTGACCATGTTTTGTTCGTCGGTCAAAATCCATGAAAATCAAGGATTTATAAAAGTTATTGCCACAACATATGCATTTGAGAATACTAAATCTATGAAAACAAAGACCTGAATGAGTCCCAATTCAGGACTCATCAAAACCCTTTTTAATATAGCATTTATATTTGTATTAATCAATACCCATAATCTAATTCAATCAAAAATTACATAATCACACCCCAAGAATTGAGGTTTAATCTAAATATTATGAAATATAAAAACATTTACCAACTAAGTCATCCAACAACTGGGTAATAGTATCCAAGCCTTTACAATGTATTGCAAAAGATAAATTCAAAAACCCACTAGCAAATCATCAAGATTGATCCTCCAAAAATCTTCAAAGTCTACAGTGAAACTCTAAAACTCCAAAGAAAAGACTTCTTAAAGTTAGCCAACTGCTCAATTTTATAGTTCAGAATTCAATTTATATGTTTCGAAAATGTGTCTTTAAAGTCCATAAGGCGAGGTAAGTCGGGCTTGCCAAGTGGATCACCGATCCACCGATTTTCCTCTTCAATAGCCACTTTCCATTGTCCTTCAGCATCTTAGGTTTTGTTTTTTTAGGGAAATCCATTTTTCATCCCTGAACCGATTATTGATTCACCGACTGTCCATTCCTATCACATAATTGGTTTGTTCCCTTAAACCTGGCACACTGGGACTTTAGGTGGCCTAAAGAGCCACTCGGTGAGTCGTTGAGTGGTCTTGGCGATCTCTAGGATCACCTTTCTTCACTTCTTCAGCTTGTTATGCCCTTTTTGCCTATCAGTGTTCTTCCTTGCTCCTTATCTCACATACTTGAAAATCAATACTTTAGCATTGGGTTATAGCTTAAATTAGGCATTTTAGGACACTAAAACTGTCACAACAAAGCCCTAAATGAGTCCAAAATCTCGGACTCATCAACACCCCCAACTTCAGCTTTTGTTTGTCCTCAAGTAAAACTCAAGATTAGTATTTTAATAAGGATTTCTCAAGTAGTGATGCATGATACTCAAAATTATTGCACAATAAAACCTCAAGCTATACATCCAATGCCCAATCATGCACTCAAAGATTCAAATTGTGACTCACCATTATCAATGATACCTATATTCACAATACTTGCTTTAAATGCAAGTTCAATCTCAACAAATGTACTCGGATTCCCTCACAAAAAAATGATTCTATATTCACACAAAATTGTTCAACAATTTAAATTACCGGAATCACATGCAACAACTCTCATGCTCTAGTCAATATTCGTTTCAACTCCCTCAAGATCACAAAGGTCGTTCCAAAGTGTGTAAGTCGGTTGAGTGTAAATGTATGGTCATTTAGTCTTAGAGGCGTCTACCTTCATGAAGTATTGTTTGAGCATCACTTTCCTCCTCTTCTTTGATATTTCAAACATGCTCATAATTAAACCCATTATTTAACGTCATATGAAAACACTGATTCCCCAGTTCTTTTGCAATTTTCACTACTTCATTCACAACTTTTTTGGTCTTTTTATTTTCTTTCTTCATGTTCATTTCCTTTTCTCATTTTTTAAGGTGGAGCGGTTTTGTCTTTTTCAATGAAATCACACAAAGGTAGATTTCTCACACTTCTTCACTTTCCTTCTATTTTCACCACACCACAACTTAGGATTTTATCATAAGTCGGCTATTCAAACAAACCATACTTCATGAATATTATGGGTGAACTGATAAAGAGAGGCAAAAATTTCTCAAGTTTATTCCAAGGAAAGGGGTAAGGAATAAAAGGTTCTAAGCAAGGTTCACACATATCACAATGTTGGCAATAGTGAAGGTATATTGTCAAATTGGTTCACTCTTCAAACTTCTTGCCTAAGCTAATTTCAAGTGTTTGCATCACTCAATCAACCAGACAAATGTGGAAAACTGTAGGTGTCATCACACCAACATTCAAAGTAATCTTATCAAAAAATTTATTGGTACCAATATAAACAAAGACTCCACATTTTCTAACTAGCTAGCAATGCTCATCACAAGAGTCGCATTCGACAGTCGGCTAGTCAAAATGAGATGCTAAA